TGGTGCTACCTAACCCTAGTGAGCCATTTGATGTGTAATGTGATGCTTCTCATTAGGGAGTTGGGATGTGTGTTGATGTAAAATAGGAAAATAGTAACATATGTTTCAAGGCAACTTAAGGTTCATGAAAGGAAGACATTATTTATATGAGGCCAAGTTTAGTGTTTTTAATGATCACAAGAGTCTAAAATATTTGTTTGATCAAAAAGAGCTAAAAATAAGATAAAGAAAATGGATGGAATTTTCTAAAAGATTATGATTTTCAATTGATGTATCATGATAGAAAGGCTAATATGGTGGTGGAGCTCAAAGCAAGAAATACTTCTACATGTCTTCTTTGATAGTCAAGGAGTTGGAACTAGTTGAAAAATTATGAGACTTGAATCTCTGTGTAGAGTTGACTCAATATCACATTAGTTGTGGGATGACTATCATAATTAATGAATTCTTAGATTAAGAGAAAGAGAAACAAATGTAAGACCCAAAATTACTAAAGATTAAAAGATAGAAGATTATGGGATTTAAGTTGAGTAGAGATGAAATTTTGAGGAACTAATTAGACAAGTTTATTTTATACAATAAAAATGTGATAATTTTTTTTTGGAAGAATATTTTTAAGATGAATGTATAAATAAAATACAAATAAAAATAATTAAATATGATGATTGTTTTACAGCAAATAAATATGATGTTAAAGATAACATTTCCTATTTAAATAATATTATTATAAATATATAATTTAGAAAAAGAAATTGATGATTAAGTTTTCATTTCATCTCATCTCTGTCAATAATATGGACAAATTTATAATACTAAATGCTACTTTCAACTTTTGTTAACCAAGAAAAACGACTGAATTGTAAATTTACATATAGTACTATTGTTGATATTAAAGTATTCAGGAAACATTTTTTTTAATGAAGGAATAGAATCAGATTTGATTAGGGGTGTGACAAAAATTCAAATTGATCCGAACCGATCCATAATTGATCCGATCCATTTTGAAAAAAAATCCAAATCGAACCACCTTATAAAACCGGTTCAGTTATTCGATCCATTTTTACAAAGTGGATCAGTTTGGTTCGGTTTGATTTTTAAAAAAAACTGATCTATATGTGAGTAAAAAGTGGATAACCACACCACACCGAACCGATCCATTTTCAAAAAAATCAATCCATATTTTAAAAAAACCAAACCGATCCACTTTATAAAAAATGGATCGGTTAATCTATCCACTTTTATAAAACAGTTCAATTTGGTTCGGTTCGAATTTTTAAAAAACCAATCCATGAATACCCCTAGATTTGATGTTTAAAAGTTAAAAGGAAATTATTATATATCTAATACCTCCCCCACCTCCCTCCCATTGTGAGTATAAAAGTACAATTCTTTTGTTTCTAGGCAAGAGTACGAGGCTGATGCATAATAAAGTAACTAATAAACGACATTAATTGCTAATCAACCTCCAAAACAACATAAAAACTAATGTAACAATTAGAGTGCAAAATAGTATAATAAATATTTTCAGGACATATTCATGATGTTATCATTAATCATGAGATGTATAAATATTTCTTATTTCGTTAGTAATACAAGTTTGAGAATTATTTTCAACCAAATAAGATATAATATTGTAGTTCATAATCAATGCCAACGTTATGTAAATTTATTATCACGACCTTAATTTTGTTTTTTAGATCAGGGAAAGCCCACCCCTTAATTGTTTATTTTTTCTATTTGTATAGGAAACTAGAATATTCTTCTACATATTCTTATATCAATGCATGTTCAATTTTGATGAACTTAGACATAGATTTGTTTATTGATTTTTCTATCAAAATGAATTAATCAGTTCAAATCCCACAAAGGAACAATGCCAAATATCGTACTTTAGTACATTACATAACAATCAAGTTGCCTTGTTATCCATAGAAATTTGACATAATTCCAAAATTGATACGCCATGCAAAACATCAAATTAAAATCCAAAAGCTTTCAGATTCTTGTTGTCTGCTAAATATTGAACATTATATTAACTATAAGCAAGTTGCTGTGTTATTATCTAAAGAAACTTGATATAATTCCAAATCGTACGGCGTGCAAAAAATAAAACTAAAAATCCAAAAAAACCTTTTTCTTTTGTATAATAAAAATTGTACATCATCTTTATATTTGTATTTCTTCATTAATTGCTAAAAAATATCTTTATCCTTGAAGTGATAAAAAAAAATGAATATAAATATAAAAATAATGTTGTATAAATTATTGTACAATTTAACGTCTATTAAAGCATATTTAAAACACATATATTTTTATTTAGGTGTGTCGACAACAACTATTTATATATAAATAATAATAATATGAGGAAAAAATTTATAAATCACTATACTTATTTTTGATTGAATGTCAAACTATACATAAATTAATTTTAATTTATTAAAAAATTTAATTTTTATTATTTTTCTTAAGTATACTTATAAAATTTATTAAACATGTCATATATTGATAAACCATTATAAATGACTTAGTGATGTTACATTCATATGATTTTAAATTTAAATCCTAACGTCGTACCTATCCCAGAGGAAGGATTTCTTCATGTTGTTATTAAATTAAATTACTCTAACTTGGTAGGGCTTTATAGTATAATACATCTCTTCAAGAGGAAGGATTTCTTCACAATCATTCCATAGCCCCTTTTTTTATAGCTTTTGAGTTGACTTCCAATAGATGTATAACAACAAGTATAGATTCTGTTATAAAAATTAGCTTACACATTCCTTATTTAGATTCTAAATAGTTGACATATAATGAAATCTTCATGCACTTTGTATTGATTTTCATCGAATGATTATGAAAGTCTAATTCTTTCTCTCAATCTTTGATCTCAATCACTGACTTTGTGTAATAATTTTGTTAGATATTTTAAAAGAATAACTTTAACATACAATTTCACCTAACAATTCCTCACCACACACACTTTAGGAATTTGTTGGGAAAATTATATTCCATATACACACAAACACATAATTACAAATAATTAAGGATTCTCTATCCACAACTCAATACCTATGAATGAAATAAATAATGTCACACATTCTTATCTCAATGCAAGAAGTGTAATAACAGCCCTCCAATCTCTTGATCACAACTACGACAGCGGTTTTAGTAATAAAAAGTAGAAATATTTTATAATATAAATGATAATTTTTTATATTTTAGCTTATAGTGATTAAAAAATATTTTATTAACTTATTATAAAAAAACTGATTTATTTTAATATTTTTTTTTATATCTTAAAAAGTAATTGATTATCTTTTGGCTAGTGACATGTTATAGATTCATTAAAGTAGGAAGAAAATTTCAATTCCATGCCAAATTAGTCTATTGATGAACCAACCCGAACCAACCCAAATTTGTCACACCCACCCAAATTGATAACTCTAGTTAATAGTGTTTTAAAGCTTTTTAATATATGTATTTACATCAAACAAAACATAGTCAAACATAATTAGATTTATGTGGTTTGGTATTATTAAGCTTTTTAATATAAATCTACAGAATACAGACAATTTAATAATCCTACACGTTTTTCTAAATACTGTCAAAATACCATTTGGTTGTTTTGTAACTATAAAAAGACATAATTTTTTTTATTTTCTTTTCATTTTTCTGTTTTTACAATCCCTGCGAATCTGAGTTCGTATCTCCAGGCCATAGTCTTGAAATTAGAAATGGACTACACGCTTCACAAGGACAAACAATATGTAAAGCTACAATTCAATACGTAGTTTTTCCTTTTAAAAAGTTTCTAAAATTCTTATGCACATAAACCATGAATCTTCTTGTTTTATGTTAGAGAAATTTTAAAGTATACATTTCTAAATATATAATAGTTGCTAAACAAATTAAAAAAAATTATACCTGTTTTTTCTCTTGATAATTTTTTTGCATCAATCCCTCCCACCTTATTATTTTATCTTATCGGTTCAATTTTAAAATATTAAAAAATGTTAACTCCTAACCAAATATATTTATAAATTTATTCAATTATAACATTGACAATCAGAATATTCCTAAAAAACCAGTTTCGAAAATAATAAATAATTAATGTAAATGAAATAAATTCCACCAACATAATTACTAAATGCGTAGCTTAATTAACACAAAATCATTTAATGATCTCAAATTTAAGTCTAAATTTGAAATTATGTTAAATATATATTGAAAAAAGAGTTAACACCTACCGTGATAATAGTATTTTTTTGGGCAGAACGATAATACTAAAAGTATTTAAGTATGAAATTTTGTTATGCCTCAAACTAAAAAGAAGTTTTAAATATGAATGTATGTAAATTAATTTTGGAATGAATTTTGTCTTTTTATTGTTTAATATTTTGATAGATAACTTAAGAAATGCGATAATTTTAAAAATATGATTATTTAAATGATTGAAAAAAAGGTAAAAAAAAAAAAAAA